GAGCTTAGGTTCCGAGCCAATAGAGAGTCATAGATTGGTGGCACCTCACCCGGCCGTCCCTACAAACGCAATGTTTTGAACATAAAAGAAATGTTATTTAGACATTGCATAAATAATGTAGATGCTATCATTGGATAAAGATGCATTATTGTCTGAATTTCAAATCAGCCACTCGTATAAAGTTGTTTTTTTCAAAGCATCAGAAACTATAGATAAAGTAAATTTTGCAAACACTATTGTTAACTTACAAAGTTGAATAACTAAAGCAATTGGATATTTTTAAAAGCATACGAGTATTTGTAAAAATGTCAAAATACGTGTAAAATAATATGTTTGGTAGGTATTTTCAACATTATGATTGATCTAGATTAACAATATTGGTATAGATTCAACAGCGAGTTTGTCATGCAACTCCCAGTCCACAACTGAAACCTCCTCCGACTGTGCGTGTTTTCGAATGGACGATAACAGTTTAGCTTGTATTTATTAGTTTGTATAGTGTCTTTACAGTAACGGAAAACAACGAATGTAATTATTGAAACATATTCCTCGCAAGCCACAAAACGCACGCATCGAAGCGTACATACGTTGCAATAAATTGACCCAACAAGCATGAAAGTATAATAATTGAAGTACGCCTCGCCTACGCCTCTTGAAGTACAGAAAGTGTGGACTTGCGTATGTTAAGCCTATATCAGTGTATTTGTGACCTAGTTCCATTACACTGTGTTGTGCTGGATGAGCTCCCTGTATGGGGCGACCTATCTGTTCTGGTATCACAGGAAGTAGAATGTCCTGATAGCAGAGGACGATATTTGGCTTTTAACTTCGCACTAATTGGATTGATTTTAATTTATCTCGCCACCGGTTTCACTTGATGGCACGTCTTATTGTTTACAATCACTGACCTAGATGATTTTATCGTAATTTAATTTCGGCAGCGTCTTTTGTTTTCCTCAATAAAATTCTGTTAGCATGTCAATTTTGCTTTGCAAATCGATAATATTGTGTATGATATTAAACTTATTGACTTTTGTATACTGAGCTAGCCATAATTTAAATGGACTATCCGTAGCCAAGTTTTGTTATAAAAAGGACTTATCTGTATGATGATATAATGTTTCTTGTTTGGCGTGCATCAAACTCGTTTCTGGTCTAAGCAGTTTCAGTTTGATGAACACCAAACAAGAAAAATTATATAGTTATGTTTTCTAAATATATGTTGACCTTGTCTGTGTGAGATGGTAATGTTTTGTACCATGTTTCGTCTGAATGTTGTAATAATACATTACACAATTACAATAGGCAATGCTGGGCTAGATACTTAACTGAAGGTTTGGTGTTTGGAAACTTATAAAAACAGACTTATTTTGTATGTAGAAACTCACATAGTGAACTACCTCCCAACCTTAAACGTTAGGGAATCTACATCACGTGTTAGTTTCGACATCCGGTTAAGTGGGAAAGATCGGACTAATTTTATATTCTCTTTGATTACCACTAAATAAACGTGTGTTTACGAGAATGAGGTTTCTGATAACTAAGTTGGCATAAAAACTACGAGATCTGTTGACAGTCTACAAATCTAAATATATTGCCTCTCTACAATGCCCTTTTACATTTATTTTGATTTGTGATAAGTATGAAACATATTTTTGAGGTAAGGAAAGACCCCTAATAAGAGACTATTTTTTAATAGGATATAGAGCTCATAATAGTACAGTGGAGCAATTTAGATTTTTGGAAATTTCTGATTTCCTAATACGGATGTGTCCTACACAGTAATTTCAATTCACAAAGATAATTTTCATATTTATTCTTGACCATACAAAAGACTTACTAAAAAATATATATATATATATATATATAATTAAAATAATCAGAGGAAGGATCGCATTCCACACCTTTTGGAAAAATATCTTGGAAACGCATAATATTAAACAAAAAAGAGTAGAGGAGAGAGCATATTTCTCTTGAGGCGGTAACATTTAGCTCCCTTGAGCAATTAATTATTGATATGCACTGTATTCTTGTTTGCTTCTCGAATCGACTGTCTGATAGATGGTTAGACTATATTGCGAGAATCTTTGCTGCCGGGTTTGAGAATTAGCAAAACTAGCCAGATTTTTATTTGTGGTGAAGGGGTTATTCCATCAACATCGGGGATCTCTGTAGTTAAGTAGCTGAATGGGTATAGTGCTTGTCTGACAAATCATAAGGTGACTGGTTCGATCCAAACAAGTTAGTAACTTTTTTGTTCGAAACCAGGCCCCAAAGAAACAACAAATCTTAGTCGGTAACGAAGCTACATAACTCTCACTACATTATGCACTAATCTCGCGTTCATATTCATATTTAGCTTAAAATACGCACTTATGTGTGCGTCACTCCCTATCTCAAAAGTAATGGTAGAGGTATATTCTGGTTAAGTTTTTTCACTGAAATGTGCATGCTGTATGCTACGAGTAACTACTTTTGAACTAGGGTTCCGATTAATTAATCGTGCATACACAGGATGCTTTGGAACACTGTATTTCAAAACAGAGTAGATTTTAGGTATCTATAGAACTAATATTTTGTTCCAAAAGTCCATCCCATAGAAGGCAATATATAGTGTTCGGAGCGTTAGTCCTTCTTCTCTTTCAACTCTTTCTGAAAGGGAAGGAGGAATAACCCCGAGGTTATTCTGGCCCTCTATATTTGACCCTCTATGGACTGGACTGTCGGGACTAAATCTTTGGTTCTATAGACATTTAGTACTCGCTCAGTTGACGTCCCATACTATACGACGATTATGTTTACTCAAACTCACACCAAGTCTGTGAGATATGTTGGCATGAAGTGCTCTGCTGCTGATGAATTCGGGATCGGAATTCAGTGTTTGTCCTTGAAGTAGATTTGTTGAAGAGTCCTCACTTGACCTCTACATTAGCTTCAACGCCCAATGCTACTCATACTACTCACTCAACACTCCGTTCTGTCATCATACACTTGAGTAATATTGTGTCATCCACTAAGGGTAGTGTTGAGGGTTCAGCACCCCGTTATCCCGTTATGCGTTATGAGTATGCGAACATTTAAACGACTTATGGCCTATTATGTACTAGATGTGGGCGATGAAATAAATAATAGTGGTTTGAATAAAGCGGAATGATGTATTGTTATTTGTTTTACCTTTGGGTCCTAAATTCCCAACCAATATCTACAATTTGTGCACGGAAAGTTTCAGTTTCGAGATTCTAGCTTTGTATTTGTTATTTGTTTTAGCGACGATTTATCAAAGGGTTTACTCTATAAGTCACATGTGAAAACATTAATTATAAACTAAAACACAAACCGTTTACATGTCCATTTTAGTCAAACCATACATGAAAGGAGTATAGACAATATTGTACGTGTCTATACTCTTTTTATCAATGGTTAAAACACAGAATTAAGATATATTAAGATATTATTAAGATGTAGAACTCATTATTTTGTCAACCAACTAAATTTAAATGACAAAAAAAAATTGTGTAGATGTGTAGAGCACTGTGACTTACAACTGCTGTTTTAATTGCTTTTATGAGTCATAGTGAACAGTTTAACTGCAAAATCCCCATATTTTGCAATGTTTGGGGAATTCAGAGAATCACGATTTATTAATTAAATAATTGATAAATACAAACGTAAAAGACAGCGATGAATATTGAACCTTTATTAAATATTTAAAAAGGAACAAAAATGACACCTTCTAAGATCTATATAAATACAGTAGTTGCTCCAGCCTGAAAACACGATGGTTTGTGATTAACACATTTATTAATTCAAGTAAAGTTTGTATTAAAGTTATGTATTTGAAAACTAGTTTAGAATACTGGAAAAACTGCAAATCCATGTCTTGGTGAACGTCATAAATCATAAAGTCAATTTTGGGTTGAGTAAGAATATACATATTTAATAATAGTTAAGCCATTGAATTAAACTGTCTGCTAAGTAAGTAGATAGTAAGTATAAAGGTTACTTACAGTCTTCGCAATCCTGTAAATTGAGCACTACGGCCGTTTCGGAGATAACTCCATCGTCGGGTGCGTAGTCATCATACACTAATCTGAGCTATTTACATATTTACATTTTTTACGTGGTTTCTTCATTTTCATTGCGTCAAAGTTTAATAAATAGTACATACAACACAAAACACTTACACAAAGATAGTAAGCGTATTTTCTAGGACATAATAAGAAATGTGGTTAAAGGGATTTCAAAACAATTTCTTGTTGACCAATAGTTTATGATCCATAATTCATAGTTTATGATCCATCGTAAGATCGGTGCTCGTAAGTTTTGCCCTTGAATATATCCTCCATTGATCAGTTGGATGTAAACAATTTACCATTCTATCGTAAATTATCTTTTGTGTAAACTTTAACTGAGACGATGAAAAATTATTCAACCTCTTACACACTCAAATACAACACTTCGTATATGCATTTTAGTTAAGTCTTACATGATTGTAAACTATTAAACTAATAAATAAGTCGTGTAGTTGAGCTGGGGAAATGTTGCTCGTGGCCTTAACTACCAAGGTATTTGTTTGGCACATGGTCCACGTAATCGCAGCCATACAATCACGGAATCACCTTTAAAAAACCACGAGGTGTTGATCTGGAAATTTATTTAGACGTTTTGTTTTGTGGTTTTCTATAGAATTCCTTACGAACTTAGTTAAGTTCGTTCAGTTAAGTTCAGTTGATCAATTTTACGTAATTAATCCAATTTTAGGTTTAAGTCCTTATGACACCCTTTTCGAGACAAATTTATATTTAAGGGTTTTCAAATTAAATATTGTATTAATTTAATTAGTTTGATTCATACAATTTTGAGTATTTTTGATATTTTTTATTGTTATTATTCTTTTAAACGCTTTGGTAAGATTGAGGCAGTTTGCTACTAGTGTTATGTATTATTTTAATTTCCCCTGTTATTACTATAACATACACTCAAACCACATTTTTGTGCTGTTAGATGGTAGACGGTAGGCGATATGCGGTAGACAGTAGCCGGTAGCCGGTGTACGGTAGACTGGGTAGACGGTAGCCGGTGTCCGGTAGACTGGGTAGACGGTAGCCAGTATACGGTAGCCTGGGTAGATGGTAGGCGGTATACGGTAGCCTGGGTAGACGGTAGCCGGTATATGGTAGCCTTGGTAGACGGTAGCCGGTATACGGTAGCCTGGGTAAACGGTAGCCGGTATACGGTAGCCTGGGTAGACGGTAGTCGGTATACGGTAGCCTGGGTAGACGGTAGCCGGTATACGGTAGACTGGGTAGACGGTAGCCGGTATACGGTAGCCTGGGTAGACGGTAGCCGGTAAACGGTAGCCTTGGTAGACGGTAACCGGTGTACCGTAGACTGGGTAGACGGTAGCCCGTATATGGTAGCCTGGGTAGACGGTAGCCGGTATACGGTAGCCTGGGTAGACGGTAGCCGGTATATGGTAGCCTGGGTAGATGGTACGGTAAACGGAAGCTGGTAGGTGGTATACGGTAGCCCAGGTAGACGATATGTGGTATACGGTAGCCTAGGTAGACGTTAGGTGGTATACGGTTGCCTGTGTAGATGGTAGACGGTAGACTGGTTATTAGACGGTAGCCGGTATACGGTAGACTGGTTATTAGACGGTAGCCGGTATACGGTAGACTGGTTATTAGACGGTAGCCGGTAAACGGAAGCCGGTAGACGGTAGACTGGGTAAACGGCAGTCGGTATACGGTAGACGGTAGCCGGTAGGTGGTAGACGGTAGACGGTAGACGGTAGCCGGTAGGTGGTAGACGGTAGACGGTAGCCGGTAGCCGGTAGGTGGTAGACGGTCTGGAGAGTGAACCTGAACCAGCGGAGTATGGACCGATCCGTGAGAAGGAACTGCGGACAGCGGTGACTGGCGACAGTAATGAATGAGCGCACCCGGAACGGGAAGTGGCAATGAGAGCACACCGTTTGTGGATTAGTTGTGCTATATAGAGTAATTTAGTATTACACTATACGTAAGGGGATGAATATTTTAATTTTGTTCATCATATAGACATTTTATTGAATCTACATCCGTCCATTTTAAAAATAATCACAATATTTTAATAGAGCTATTAATATACACGAGAAACAATACGTGTTAAAAAGGTGAGTGGGCCGACCCTATCTAGTTGTAATCGTTCTCAAAGTGCTTTTAACTAAAGAGGCTTAAAACGCGATAAAGGTGATTTAGCGTATTGTATATTGTTGTTACACTTCTACTGTATTTTATTCTTAACATTTTGTATTTGTTGTAATTAACCTATCTATTTTTTAGATGTTGTTTAATAATGGTTTAAAGTCTTAAACAGAAGTCTTAAATCCTTCTATATGTTGTTTTGATGTTTTCGTACATCACAAACGGCATTGAAGGTAAATGTAAAAATACTCCGTATTAATTCGTTGTTGATGATTTTCTTAAGGATGTGGTGATATACAAATCATACATGTAAAACATATATTCTTCTTTATATGTTTTTCTAAGTAGTTATCACTACCTAAAGAAAGTCAGTTTTTTTTTTACTGTAGTTACCTTGAACCGCGTCTTATCGAAACAGTTTGTGTTAACTATCGGGGGTTTCCTTGCAAAGTTGATAGTTGTTGCCTTCAAACTGTCTCTCTGATATTATATGAAAAACTTGCTATCACTTTGAAAAAAAAACCAGCTGTTTTTTCTTTTGTGACTCATGATTGCATTTAAGTTACTTTATGCCACACGACACTATTTTGACGAACTTCCCACGCAAGGATGTAGTATGTAGTCCAGAAAACAGCTGTTTGCCGCCAGCTTAATCAAGTGGGGTTTCATTACGTACTACCGTACTGAAATGAGTTTTTACCGGACACCAAACAGCTGATTATACTATATTTGGCAATGAGTATAAAAAAAAACATAACCTCTCTTAGAAAGTATGATTAGTGATTGTTAGTCCTTTAGTTGGTGGTAATATATAAGGATTTGTACAGAGTTAGTAGTATGGCGTAAAATATCGTACGTCACTCGTCCAAAATGTGTTTACCGGACTCGTATGGCAATCCCGTACTTGACTTTGTCTCGCACGGGAACGACCACACTCGTCCGGTAAACACCTATTTTCAGGACTAGTAACGTAACATAGGCCTACTAATGTTGTGGCATTTTAGGGTAAAGTAGTGTAAAAACAGCTGTTTTCCAGAAAGTTACCTCAAACATCAAATAATCGTAATAGTTTTATCTTAGGTTTTGGTCTTGAACAGAAAGGAAAGAAAAAACACAGAGTAGTTTAAATTACAACGTTAACAAAACTGGTTATATGCCTAGGTAGATGATTATTAAAAGAAGTGGGGGTGAAATAGTTTGACTTCATTTTTGGTCAAAAACGGCATCTGCAAACATTAAGCAATAATTTGTCTTTCCTTTTAAGATCACTAGACAGAGAAATTTGCGATTACTTAAGTAAGTTACTGTGTTAATATTCGATTAATGATGTGTCCTGACTACCGAAGTGTAGTTTTGAAACCAAAATAGGCTTATACAAATTATCTTCTTCCTACGCTCGCTTAACCAGAAAAATTGACTCATTCCATCGCAATAGGCAATAAAAAGACATAGCATTGTTCCTAGGAAAATGCTCGCCACTTTATTAAGTAGAATGGCTCGAAGGTGTCTCAAAACAATGCAGGTCACATTTTTACTGCAAATGGAAGATATTCTCACTGTAATAAACAAGCTGTATTAAAACAAAATACAACTATGTTTAATGAAGTAAAAACAACTTTACAAGTAGCACATTTGGGTACTGAATTGTTATAAGTTTTAAATGCATTGTGTTGTAAAACATTATTAAGTAATATAAAACAAACTATTAAATTGTTCATGATCTTATCTGTATATAAATTGTTCTATCATCTATTTTGTTACACTGTCATGAGCCGGTGTAGAAGATTCGCATTGTAATACTAGAAATTCCTCAACGTTTTATTTCAATGTTTGGAGATGGTAAATTTACGTATCATATAATGGATACATATATATCCGAATTTGATGACATTTGATAAAAATTGTAGATCTACGTTTATCCAAACGGGTTCGCTAAATAGAATGATCGGATTATGTGAACAGGGTTTAAAGGGGGACTTGTGGGGGTAAAAATTTAAGGTTTTCCCATTTTCACACTCAAAACATTAAATTTTAAATTTTCTTTCCTAACCATTTTGTAGAGCTTAAAAACAAATATTTTCTATGTTGAAGCGTCACTGTAAAGTTAATGGTTGCGAACAAAATCCCGAAACCCCATAAATTTAAAATTCGCGCGTTATTTTTATGGAGAAAAAATTATCTGTTGTCGTTTGCTTTTTTATGGAAATATCAATTTTGGTAAATGTATTTATTTAATAACAAGCTATTAAATGTTAACTATAAACAAACTGTATAAAGTTCCCAAGAGCGGCAAACCTAAGTACTCGTTTAACCTATTGCTATTCAAATAAGGAATATATCTGACATAAGGGAATATTTGAGAGAAAATCTAATAAGGCAAATGGAATTCGCTTGAACTGCAAATTGTTGTCGTGGGGGTATTTTATTGAATGATTGTATCTGATTTACCAAGGTTTAAATACTCTGTTATATGTCAACATTTATAAACATGTTTTCTTTGAAGAGCAACATATTGCATTTCATCCGTCACATACAATTTCTCACAGTTTTCTCTGAATTATTTTATTACAACCATTTCTGTCCTCCTTTACAACCAACTGAGCCTAGTATCATTTAAAAGTTCAACAGCGTTACGTCCGTTCCCAACTTTCGCAACAAGAGTCGTTAGAAAGCAAAGGTATTAAGACTTTGGCTCTCGGAGTAACTGCTTTGTGACTTAAAATGCCAATTTAAAATTTAACTCTATTTGGGAGGCTCTCGAGTTAGAAAAGAACATTTTGTCCTAACTCGGCCTCTGAAATAACTCTTCTTTAAAAACAGTATAAAACATAATAAAGGCTTTCGAAATGTTTATGAGCCGAAAGCATTAACAGCTACTTAACTAGGCCCCAGAGAATGTAAAAATAAAACATAATGTAAAAATGATGTTTTTGATTCATATTTTTGAGGTAGGTATCTAAATAACAAAATATTGATAGTATTTTTCTAAAGGCAGTTTAGAGAGAAAATTATGTACTTCGGTCAGCAATTCATCAAGCAACAACATGTTGATGTTATTATAAAACGTGTTTCTCATTAAGATAATTATAACAATTATTGGAGGTTTCATTGCAAATCAAAAGATTAACATATGCATATGAAAATATTTCTATCGAAAAGAAAAAAATGACCGTCAAAAATTAACATCTGCAATTAAATCAACGATTGTATTCTTTACAAGAACGACTTAAGTTTTGATTAACCATCACTGTTTGCTGATTCGACATTTTGTAATTAATTTCCTTGCTCTCCACCAATATTCTGTTTACTCATTTGTTTATGGAATTATCTGAATTTTTGTGATGAATATGAAACAAGACCTTGCTGTCGTCACACAGAATATCATGCTTATTATTATATAACTGATTAAGATTGGTTTGGAAATCGAAACTTATGAAAGTATGATTGACGATGAGAAACTCCAATTCGATGAACACTATCTACCTCGACTCTGTCACTATATCTATCTGGGGTTATTATTACCTCAGAGAAGTATGTAAAGCAACAAGTTTCTAGAATCTGCTTCATTCATAAATATTTTACAAAGTCTTGGTGTGGCAAGTTTGAAAGTTCACGTCCTTAAATATGTAAGTATGCGCAACGTAATGGGATGAGCAGCCAATGCTACAGCAAAATTTATAATATATTTGACTGTATCAGCATTACCCTGGCGAGTCAATTTATATGTTTCGGCTGTCTTAAAACTTCCGTTTCATGAGATCGAATTGCAACTGATTACACACATATTGAACTGAAACGATCTACAAACATGCAATTTTAGTTGCAGATTATTTAAAGAACCTATGAACTAAAGGAGGCAGAAGACTAAATAGAATAGTTGTTAAAATAATTACCGTACTTATGGACTCATATGATACATGAAATGTAAGACATCGTCTGTTGACTATGATATGAAATGGCACCGGTATCTACAAGTTGACTGCATCAGAGTTGCAGATGATCTTATGTTGAATTTGTTTACTGCATATAATCTAAAAATTATGTTTCACTTAAGATTATTTAAAGACCAGCAAACACAACCTTAAAAGACTTATAATACTTTGAAACTCCATCATTAATTTCTTTCACCTGTATCTCAATTTTGGTTTCGATGCTGAATTAGACATGCAATCCATATGGACCAGCTGTAGCTATTTTATATATTATATATATAACGGGTCGTTGTCCAAGACCCGTCTGACGCGGGCCACTGCTCCGGGAGCAGACGGGTGTTCGCTGATGTCAGTGTTGTGTTGGAGCGTGCTCCCCCGTTCTCTCAAGCTTCCGTGTGATGACTTGTAGGAATGGTTTTGTTATTGGGTATGGAATGCGATTGCGTTAAGTTTTTTGATCCTCTATCTTGGTAGACTCTATCCTCTATTTTGAGACTTGTCTCAAACGAACTTGAAATCGTTGATTACACAATCGAGGTACACTTGTAATGTTCAGAATTTCCTCACTTTAATCAAATCTTAAATAGCATTCCTATTTCTTAAATCAACAGAAACTTCCAACTATAATGAGAATGAGAACACTTAATACTTATCAGTTCAGTATACAATACCTAACAATAATTAATACACAAGTATACCAAACAATATTTAGCGTACAGACATCAGTAAATGCAACTCCAGTTACTCGACTACCTTTTACTTAGCATTAACTGTTCCTGTAGCTGTCTCATAGCTTAG